ATAAAGAAATTAAACTAAAATTTATAAAATTTAAATAATTCTCATTTGTCTACAGACCCTATCTCACCTTCACTTATAAATATATTTATATGCAGTCCAACGAATTCTGCATTGGACAGTCATTGCATTGCGATTCGAAGTATCGCGACATGAATATAAATATTTTCGCTTGTTGCCTTGAATGATTGCGTTGTCTCGGCATAAGACGAGCGGTAGCTTGAGAAGTAGGCAAAAGTTGATGGTGGAGTACAAAGACGTGTAGTAAAATTTAGTTGACTCGTGAACGCTTGCAGTTGACGACGAGTTGAGGTTACGTATACGCCAAGGATGACTTGTAAAGTCGAATGTACAGCAATGTTAGGTCTGTTGCTTGATTCTACTTGAATTTCAGTATGAGAAATGGCAAAATAATATCATTCACAGTTTACAATTTTGTTTTATTATACTTGTTTTTTTCGGGCTGGTAGTCGCTCGTCGACTGAAGTGGTTGCATAACAATGCACATTGCAGAAAAACATCAGCACTATAACAGCACGTAGGTTGGAAGAGACACAACTTACATATTTATCTAACTTCATCTCTGTGTGAAATGGCGAAAAAGTAATCATTGCAATTTAAAAAGGATAATCTTATATATATATATATATATATATATGTTTATGTGTAATTGCGACGCTTGGGCGCCAACAAGCTAACGCTAGCTGACTACAGCTAGCTGCAGACGAGTGAAAGTTTGTTGGCGACAAAAGGATGTGTATGAGAATTGCATGAAGCGACAAGCAGAAAATTTGAAATTTTTTTAGAGAAACTAAAATGAGCGAAACTGTTCTGTATCTGTTGAACCCGCCGTCATGGAGAAAAAGTAATAGCGAACTGTCGAAATACGTTTCGCTTTCGGCATAGAAATATGTAAGTCTCAAAGGCGGCCAAAAGACAACTATGGAATAGTTTGTGCTTGCTCTTCGCAGCCTTGAATGTCATTGGCTGGGATTTGCTTTCGACTATCAAAGCGATAAGCCAACATTAGATGTTGCGTGATGCAAATACTTGAGCAAGTGGAAATGCAGGAAATGAGCAGATGATTATAGGACATTGAGAATGCTGGGAATAGGCTTAAGAGCAGCAGAAACATAAGATGATAGCTATAATTTATGGTTAAGGACACCACAGGCTTAAAAGCAACCTTCAAGATATTTTTTCATTTCTTTTTTTTTTCGAAAATGGTGATTACCCACAATTTTTTTTTTTAGTGAATATAAGCGACAAGCGGAAAATTAATGGCTTGCTTAAGTAGTATTTAACTGTTTGAAAAAGGAAAACATAGAAAAATAAAAATTATATTTGTCACGTTTTCTAATAGACTTATAATGTACCATGTCACTCGTATAATTGTCTACTACCATTTACATATAACGTCAGTTTGTCACCTGTCATTTGTCATTTGTCAGGTGTAATATGGTATTCGTCATTTATTATTTAATTTTTGCATTTAAATATTTTTTTTTGTAATTAAAAATGGTGTTATCAATACAAATTTGGTTTTTTTATGAGTTGGAATGCCAATTTTTTTAAATAAATACGAAATCATTGGAAATTTTTTTCATTTTGCAACTTCTTCTTCTAGACTTGTATTCGATTTTATTCAAATTCTTAAATCGGATTTCTAAATTTCTAGATGTGGGTTTGAGTCTAATTTTTGCGTACCCAAAATTCCAAAACAGGTTATTCCTTAAAATTTTTTTTTCTAAATATCTCTACTCTTTTATATAGATTTTCAACATTTGTAAAATATGAAAAGGATTTTATTTTAAAGAGTCCACCATTTTTCGACCACTTCCCATAAAATGTAGTATTCAAAAAATTTAAACGAGTCCAGTCCAATGATAAATATTTGTTAACTTCATTTACTCAAAATTAAATCTTTTTCAGTGCACTTGCTTGCACCTACAAACATGCAGGCATATATAAATACCCATGAACATGTCAACGTGCGCACACTGATTGCATAAAGGGAGCTCTGCGTGAAGGTAAACACATGAAAAAATGCTACCCTGTAAGAAATTTTTCACTGAACAAAAGCTGGCTGTCAAAACAGATGCTCAGAAAAAAGAATAAAGAAAAACATTTTAAAATTTATAAAAATTAGGACTTTATAAATATTTGAAATAAAATTATTAAATTCATTATTTTTCTAATTTTTTCTGTAAATTTTGTTTAATTTTAACTTATTTATTTTTTTAATAATCACTTTTCATCAGTTTTGTAAAAAAAAAAGTTTCAAAAATTACATTGAAATCTTATACATAGCATGCTTTTCGGCACATCTTTACCAGCCGCTGCTGCCTGTCGATGTTTATATGACTTCCGAGTGAAGCCTGCTGCGGCAGCAAGCAACGCCTGCTGCTGTGACTAGAAGTACACTGAAGGGGTAAAAATTTAACTGTGTGTGTAGTCTATCCTTAGGCGCCTTGATTTCACTGCTGAAAATCATGCACCTGAGTTATTATTTTTTCAATATTTGCTGGGTCGCATTTTTCATTGAAACGAAAATTACCAGCTTTTTTTTACAAAAAAATATAAAATAAATATATATACACCATAAATAAAAAATTGGCATTTATTTATTTTAACAGCCAGCAAAAAACGAACTTCAAAAACAATATTAAACCGAGTACCGAGTGCCATAAATTGCTAACAGGCAGAGTACACTACATTGGTAATTGTATTGCTGCTTGGCCATTTCGGCTACAACATGCAACATTGCATGCTACACCGTCGTGCCACATTGGTGCTGCGTCATATGAAATTGTGCCATATGAAGGCAGAAAGTGTATAAAAATAAGTAAAAAAAAAAGAGAAATAAAAAAGTCCAATCAAGTGGCGCGATCAGTCTATCATAAACGAACCAAATTTTGTGCATGTAAATTTAATGGCTTACACACATACTTACATACACTTATAGTTTGTAAAATAGCTATGAAAGTGTGTTGATCGCTCTTTTGTGAGCAGCAAAAGCGAAAATTGTCAAATTATTGATATAACAAATGAGAAGAAAGTGGAAATATAATTGAATTGAGTAAATAAAAAATAAGTGAAATAAATAATGAGCATGATTGCGAAAATAAATCAATGATAGTGAAATGTAGAAGGACCTAACTTCGAAATTTTTAATTAAAACTTAAAAAAATGATCAAAAAGGGCCATGCAAGCATCTAATTGATTAATTATAAAAATATTAATTACAAGCTATTTTTTATTTTATTTAAATTTATTAAATTTTAATAATTACTCTTTTTTTTTGTTATATATAATTAGATATATTTTATTTATTAAAAGTGTGTTTATTCTCTAACTTATTTATGTTATTGTATTTTATTTTTTTAATTTTTTTATGTTATTTTTAATTTGTATATTATATTATTAATCAGTTATATTTTATTTCAATTTATTTCATTTTATAAATATATATTTTTTTTAATAACTTCCCTCAACTTACAGTATTCACATAATTTTCTGGATATTTTCGACAAATTTTGAAGAAATTCTAGCTCCCAAAATCGGCACAAGCTTACTTTGTTCGCCTAATTGGTGTCATAATTCAACTATGTGTGGGTGTTTTTGGCAATTTTTTAATAAAATTTATATTTTCCCTACATTTTTTTCGCCTGAATTATTACCACATTCTCTAGAAGGTGACACCCACATACATATACATATAAGAGTAACCACAATGACAGGCACATATGAGCTCATCAATTTTCAAGCGCTGCAGCCGGCACCACCATCCCCACCACTAGAAACAGCAGCAGGCTGCTAACCAAAAGATGAAACTCCCTAAGTAGTTGTGAATTGCTCCACTGACAGGCGGGAACAAGCCACTCAAACAAATTTAATGCGAAGAGCACACAAAAACACACTTCAGTACGCTTGCATACAAACACACATGTGTAAAATCATATGTGTGACACACAATTATTCCTTTATTTGAATGGGTATATGTATGCATGTGTGTGTGTGTGTGTGTGTGTGTGTGTGAGTGCTTGCCAAACAATAGTTGCATTGCGGCTAATATGCGCGCAGCTACTTAAGAAGACAAATTGATGTAAGGCAGCAAATGCTGCTGTTGTTTGGGTTGACTCCAACGACAATTGCTGACAGTCAGCAAAAGAAAAAATAGTAGGTCTTTTTTCTTGCTCTTTTTAACATAGCATGATTTCTTTATCAACTTTTTCTCTATATGCTTGAGTGATTATATGTGTGCGTGTGTGCTACTGCCCAGGCGTATAATTTACTTCGATAATTTATTAAGTTTACTTTCGCCACAAATATATGGCGGGTGGTTATATATTTCTTATACATATATGTATGTACATATATATTCTCTTTTTCACTTAAGTCGAATGATTACGTTGACTACTTAGTTGAAGCCTGGTGAAAAGTGGACGCTTGAGCTTTTCTGGTATTTGCCACTTAACCGGAAGAAGCACTTTCACGCTCTGCGTATAAATTCAATGAAGAGTCTGTTTTTAATATCAATACCTTGCAACATTTCACATAAAAAGATTGTGTCCTTATGTCCAATTAAAATATATTAATGAAATTTTAAAAAGTCTTAAATACTTCAAGGAGTACGTTTTAGTGATATAAATTTTAATATTTATTTTTTCATTTCATTTTAATTTTATTAAATTTCTTTGTATATTGTTTTTCAGTTCATTTTTTTGTGTTATATATTATTTTATTTATTACATTTTATTTTTTATGTTGTTCTTAATAGATTTTATTTCTTTTAATTTATTTTATATAATACTAAAATATTTAAATTTTCTTTTTTTTTATTTTAATTTATTTTGTTTTAATTAGTTTTATTTATATTATTTTCGAATATTTTTTTTTTGTTTTCTTACTTTTATAACCCCCTGTGTTATAGAAAAATATTCGTAAAATTTTTCTTACTTCTACATATACTCATAACATTCTTCATTTCTCTCTACTTGCAGGGTCGTTGTAATCGTGATAAACCGCCGTGCAAATATTTTCATCCACCACAACATTTGAAGGATCAATTATTGATAAATGGACGAAACCATCTTGCCTTGAAGAATGCATTGATGCAACAGATGGGTATGGCAACTGGACAGCAAGTCATACCGGGACAAGTGCCAGCAGTGGTGAGTAGAAAAAATTTCAAAAAAACGGAAAAGAAAAAACGGAGAAATATAGTAAAAGTAATCTAAGAATATTATTAAGCCCTTTGCTAGATTAGTTCAGCCAAGAAATATGAAAAAAACCAAAAACTCAATTCTCATAAGCATTTCTAGAAAAGGAGAAAAAATATATTTAAAGCATACATCATAGCGCGCCCCTGCTATCCGTGTGTGTAGTGAGCACAAATAAATTTCTAATAAAGGCTTTCAAGTGTTTGTTCGGAGGATATTTTGTGGTGGAATTCTTTTCATGATTACCGATTGTGCAATGAAGTATCAGAAGTTTTATATTACTCAATGAAAGAAAAGAGGTAAAGTGAATGCCACCGGAATAAAATTTAAAAAAAATTTAAATATACAGCAAGTCTTTAGGACGGGAATTAGATATCCCAAAGGCAACATATTAACTAAATTTATAAAATATTTATATAAAAGTAAGAAGCATCCTTACATCATACACAATATAAAATTATATTCCAACAAATAAATGTAAGCGAAATAAAGTCAAATAAAATAAAATAAAGCAAAAAATAAAAATAAATAAAATATTAAAAAGTAAATAAAAAAAAATTTTTTGAAAAAATTTAAATTAATGAGATTAAAATAAAATAAAATAAAATAAAATAAAATAAAATAAAATAAAATAAAATAAAATAAAATAAAATAAAATAAAATAAAATAAAATAAAATAATATAAAATAAAATAAAATAAAGTGAAATAAAATAAAATAAAATAAAACAAAATAAATTAGGTTAAAATAAAATAAAAATAAAATTTAATTTAATTAGATTCGATTAAATAGAATTAATGAATTTAAATTCAATTAAAATAAATCTTATATAAATAAGTACATTTTTTGCATTTCCATACGCTAGGTCGGTATATTTCAATTTGAATATGTAACTTGGCAAAAAGAAGGAAGTTTGTTTTGTATTTCTAAAGTTCCGCCGCTTGTTTATCACATCGATTAAATCTGAAAATATTTGCATGTGTTCAGTGAGAAAAAACCAACGTTTTAATAATTAATTTCCAATTGCCAGCACAACAAATGCAGCAACAAAATTAATGTTTAAATAAAATTCTCAAACACTGTGCCAAGTGTTGAAATAATTAAATGTGAGCACAAAAATAAATTGCTTATTGAAAATTATCAGTTTTTTGGCATTAATTAATTGCGCAAATACTGAAAATACACCAAACGAATATTAAGTTTTCTTTTCGACACCAAATCTCAGCCATATTTTTGGCGCAAACTAGTACTCAAGCGTTTGTCACCCCTTCAAAAACGAGAAATTAATCTAAAAAAGTCTTCGCCATTGCAACGCAAGGAAGTTTGAAATTATTTTTCACGTCGAAATGTATATTTTATTAATTTGAAATTCCACCATTAAAGCAAATGACATTGACACATTCTCACTTTCCGCTGACGAAATACATTGCGAGTGTAGCCCATACCAGCAGCACTCATCAGCTGTCAACAGCTGACGACCGGAAAAGTACAAAAATATGTATTTAAATTAAAATTCATAATAATAGACTGCCAAGTAAGGAGTGAAGATAAAGGTGGCACTAGTGAGTGCCTGCGTGTGTGTGTATGTGTATGTCTGAGCGCGCTGTTAAGGGCAGTTGCAGTGACAAGCCTTCATCAACAAGCATTGGCGACTAAAAACTGTCATTAACGCAGGGTCTTCTCACTCTCATACTTTCCCATAATTGTCTTTCAAGCGCGCAGCTGTATATTTGCTCACCATAGTCTATATAAATGAGTCACATTGCGAAACGAGGTCTGTTTGTTTGTGCGTTTGTACTTTTCAATCACGTTGAATCCCTTTTGCTCTCTCCACTATACTGTTGTATAACAAATCCATCATTTTCATTTAACAACAATGTCAGTTTAATGCATCGTTAAGGAGTGGGCAAGGCATAAACCATTAACGGAGGCGTCTGTCAGCTTTCAGTAACTGGTTAAAGAGGTGTGTATGTTTCGCAATTTTCTGTTTTAGTTGGGAAGAGCTTTTACTGAAGGTTGAACGTGTTTATCTTACCTGTTATATAGCTCATAAAATATTTAATTATATTTAGGAGTAAATTTATGGGATACCAATCAGTCAATCTTGTGGATTTTTAAGGGTTATAAGGGATTTTTTTAATGACAGATTGACTATTTTTATAAATTAAAATAAAAATACTAAAAATGTTGAAATGGTATTGGTTAATACCTCTTATTTGTTATCATTTTTCTAAACAGAACTAATTAATGCCAGATTAATTTTTCCACTTGACCACTATTTAAATTTTTCTTAGTTAACTACAACAAAATGTTCATATCTAATAATTATTCAGCACTTCCACAACAGTTTTAGATACGAAAAGCGGCGCTGTTGCTATTAGTGAGCGACTCATTGTGCTCCCGCTATAAGGTTTCAATGACTATCTCAATTAAGCAACCATATAGTGTGCCTTATAAGAACTGCGATATTAGAGTCAGCTGAAAGCCAAAACACTGCTTCCCAAGAAGCTTTTCAGGCTGTGCACTGAAGGAGGTACTAATTTTAAGACTTTTCTTCTCCTTTATCGCTGCGATAAAAAGATTTAGAGAAAGAAATTATTGCCTTGCCGTGAAGCACCATTTTGTAGTGTTCCAACATTACATTATTGGAGTAAGGATCTATAAGTATTAAGTTAATTCAACTATTATTCAACTATCTGATATTCGCTATCATTTTTAGTGCGATAAGGCACTCCCGAGTTCTCTGTGTGGTTTATTATGGTAAGAAGGACTCTTTTGCTCCCTAGCTTCCCGGTCGCACAGTTTTCTGTCATTGTCTGTTACATCCCTGTGCCCAAGTCTAAGTCATATTTTTCTTTTTGAGTATCTGTTTTGAGTGCTTCAGCAGGGGTCGGTTTTTGAGAGACTTGATGGTTAGCTACAGATCGCTGAGCGCTTTTACAAATCTCTCATATTCACTGCCTATTATAGATTTTTCGGGTTTATACCTCATCTCTTGCCAATAATCCCTGCAAAGTGCTATTATGGTCTTTCTTGTGATCTTTCTGCCGTGTCTTGACTCCCATTAAGTTCATTATCTGAGATTAACCCGAGATATTTGGTAGGGAGCTTAAACTCCATGTTTTTTTTTTTAGTAGGGATGGTTTAAAAGGCTTTAGCGATGATAGATCATATACTTATATGTATATCTCAAACTTTTTTCCAGTTCATTCATTTTATTGTTCAAATAACAATAGAAAAAAATTACATTTATTAATTTTTTCTCGTAATCCTAGGATCATATTTTGTTCGGCTTATTATTTTTTTAATCACATATTTTTTTTTTGTATCAGTTGTTATAATTTTTTATTATTTAAATTAATCTTTTATCATTATAATTTTATATTTTTTGTGTTTTTATTATATTTTTTATTAATATTTTATTTAAAAATTTGTTGTTATTTTTTTACTGTATATTTATATTTTTATTATTATCTGCTTACTGAATTACCCAAAAATACACAAAAACCCCAGTTTTATCCCTCTTCTTCACTAATTTTGTAGTCTTATTGTTCGCTGCATGAGATTATTATTTGCTCTCTATGGCAGATGGACGCGGCGTATGAGTAACATTTCATATAAATACCAAAGCAGTTATTTTACTGGCATATAATTTAAAATAACGCAAAAACAAACTTTAAAAATTAAAAAGAAATCCACTGTGTTTAATATTAACTTTTATTAAATTCTCTATTTATTTTTATATTTTCTTTTTTTTTTGTATTATTTTTTTATGTTTCATCTATTCATTTTTTTTTTTAATTATTTATACATATTTTTTTCAAAATAAACATTTCCAATATTTTACACTCATTTGAACGTAACTAATTCAGTATTTCCCCAAAAAATTTAAATAAAAATTTCCATTGTAGACTTTTAGCGTGCTTCCAGTGGCTTTGCCACTCAGCCAGCCGTCATGCTCATGAATATTCATTAAAATGCAACTTAATATATTATGGTGTATATTTCCATTAGCAGTTGTCCACCCTGTCTTTGCGAAAAACGTTAAGTGAATATGAGAAGAAAATAGAAAAGGAAGAATATAAGCGAATATTTAGCAATATGTAATTTAAAAAGTTATACCAACGAAAATAGTAAGGAAATTAAACATTAAATAAGCACAGAAAAAAGTAAAATCATGACTACATTTTTTTTTAATTCTTTTTTGTAATATTGTTAATTCTACTGAATTGTGTAAGTTCAGTAGAAAAATCAATTCATTTAAATTTTTTTTTATTTTATTTAAATACACTACCTACATTACCTTTTATAGTTTTTTTTTATACCCCAAAATGATTGTTTTTTTGTCTTTCTCTTTTTCTCTCCCTCTCTCTCTTGCTCTTTCTTTTTTTCTTTCCATTTCTTTCTCTCTCTTTTCATGCTAATGACATAGCCTTTTATCTATTCACAGGCCACAAATCCCTACTTAACCGGCATACCGGCAAATCCATACCCCAGTCCATATTATGCGCCCGGAACTTTAGTGCCTGCATTACTCGGACCAGATCACACACAATTGGGTCAGGTGGTGCCACAAACGGTGCAGGTGGCACAACAGAAAATTCCACGTTCTGATCGATTAGAGGTGAGTCCAAAGCATTTCAAGCGCTTGATTTTTGTATCAGTTCTTCTGCTTTTTCGTATTTATTAGTGTTGAAAAGCAAAAATATAAAATATTTACAAACAAAAAATTAATTAATGAATTTATTTATTTATGTTAAATATTTTTTCTTCAAATTGTTCTTGTTTGTTTGTTTTGTGCAGCAAATAACAAACAATAAATATATTAATTATACTAATTATAGGGTAACTTAAGTGTTAAAATTTGGTTTTCTATGAGTTTACTGATTAATACTTTAATTTTTCTGTTGAAAAATGATTTGTGTTATATTAATTTAAAATAGCATGAAAAAGTGTTATTTAATTTATTACTGATTTTCGTTGTGTGTGTTATTTCAATAAAAATTTATTTAACATTTTTTGCTTTATTATCTTTTTTTACTATATTTTGTAGTTTTATTTTAGTTTAATTTAGTACAAAACTTTATTCAAACTTAAAATTAATTAAAAGTTTTTTCAATAAAAATTCGAGAATGAGCAGAAAAAATTATTCTTTGATTTTTTTCTAGATTCAAAAATTAAAATCCTTAATTAGAGTTTAAAAAAAATTAATTCGAACTATAAAATAATTAGCGAATATTTAAATTATTTTTCTAACAGGTATTTTCTTTAATTAAATACAATGAGAAAGATCTGATATATTAAAGTTTCTAAAGACTCTAAATATATTCAATATTGATTTTTTTATGAAAGTTTCAAAATAAAATAGCATTATAAAAAAAATATATTTTAACTTAAATTTTTGAACTAAAGAGTTAAATTTAATTTTTTTCAACTTAAGGTTCCAAGAGTCAATGGCTTAGATATCTAAATTAAATTTTTTTTATCAAAGGTTTAAATAACATTAACTAATTTTTTATTTAAGGCCCATAAAAAAAATTTTTATTTAACTTTTTTAGCTTAATTTTTTTTATTTAATTTTTTTTTTTAATGAAGAATGTAAAATTATACTTGTTCAGTTTGATTTGTTTTTATTAATATTTTTATTTTTATTATATGCTTTATTATTATTATATCTCGATTCAGCTACTATAAATCAAATTTTGAATTGCTGTTTTAATCAACTGTATATATTCGAATAAGTTGAAATTTAAAAGTTATTTAAAAAAGAAATATTTATGAAAAATTAGTTTTCTTCTCAGGCCTCAAACTAAATCGATCACACATTCGTATCTTTTTGAAAACTTTGTATTAAAAATAATTATTTATATATGAAAGGGTAATAATTTTTTGTTGTATTGAATTTCAAAATTTTAATTAAATTTTAATTAAAGTAAGCATTGAAGAAAAATCGTTTTGAAATTTTTAATTTTTTACTTAAAGCAATAGTTTTAATTTTAGTTTTCTTTTATTTATTTAATTTTATTTGTTTTTTTTCTACGTATTCTGCAAGGTGTAAGTTTAAGAAAAAAACTTTATTTCCATTTTTTTTTTAAATTATTTTCGATGAAAAGTATTAATTTATTTTAAAACGCTGCTTTTCAAACCCTTCCACTCTGTATTGCGCTATATATATTTTTCCTCTTCTAAAAAATTATTTGCGAACTATCGCTGCGCTCTTTGCTGCAAAGAAGTAAATAAAACAAAAATATTTTCTTTTCGCAAATTTGCTTTGCTCTCGCGCGTATTTCCCCCTTCACGCAACACTACAAAAAACGTAAGGTATACAGATAAACTCTCAACAGCAGCAACACAGATTATTGGTTTTGTACAATTAAATTTTTTATTAATTTTTTTTTTTTGTTTAAAATATATAAATCGCAAAAAACTCTATTAAATATTTTAAAAATTTGGAAAATGTTTTTTTTATACAAAAATAGGACTGCTATTTTTGAAAAAAAAAAAAAAAGTTAATATTTTTTTTTTAATTTAAGGAATATATTTTTTATGCTAAATTTTTTAAATATTACTACGATTTGTATCTGATATTTTTTTCAGCAATATTTACTGAGAAAAATGTGTTTTAAAGTAATATAAACAATTTTTATTTTTCTTTAAGGCATTTAAAAAAAATATAGATTTTAATTTTTCTGTTAAGCATTTTTTTTGTTTATTATTTATTTTATGTGAGTGCGTTTTTTTTTTTGTTTTGTTGTGTTTTGCATTTGTGTTCTTCAATATTCAACTAATTCGCCGTAACTACACTAAATTACGAAAAGAAAAATTGTTTAAGGCAAACACAAAAATTTGCTTGCCGACCGCCACTAAGCGCTTTCAATAAAACGAAAACTGTACTAAAGCGCCTAAAGTTTTGTTATTATGCGTGTATAATTTGCTGCTGCCACCTACCAACGCCTAATACACGTCGTAAGCGCCAAAGAGCCCCCTTAACCCTCAAAATATTAACAAAGTAAATTAGAACCAAATTCTGTTGAAATTAATTTGAAAAAATTTAAAAAATAAAATTTAAGTATCCCCGTATGTTGGCATGCAAATTTGAAATGAAACCAAATTTATTCTACTCACCAAAGATAACCGCTGTGCTAAAAAAAAAAAAATAAAACAATAAATACAAAACAAAATAACCAAAAATTTCGTTATTAAAAAATTGTAAAATTTTTAAAATGCCTGAAATTATACTCAAAGAAAATAATTTCCTTCCATTATTTCCTCCCAACCACAAACAAAAAAAAAAAATATTGAAAAAATCTAAAAACAACAACAACCAACACCAACACTACCACCACCAACAATTTTCGACCACACCGACACCTGCAAAATTGTTTACCACCACCACCACCACAAAACCAACAATTTAAACCACCACCAACACCGCTACCACCAATTAAACAACAACAAACAACTTGCAATAAATTGCATATGCAACTGCAACTGCAAACGCTGCAAAAAAACAAAAAAACCAAATTGCTGCCGCCAACGCCAACGCCAACGCCTACGCCGCCGCGCTGCTGCCGCAACCGCAACCACTGTCGCTACCAAACAATCAACCAATTAAAAACAACAACAACAACAACAACAACCAAATATCGTAAACTCACTCATCAACAAACCAACGATTTGCCTATCAACGCGCCTACGCATATGCAACGAAAAACCATAAAAAATGGGAAAACTATGCGAATACATCATATTTGAATGATTTTTGTATTTGGAAAAAATTATCAAACGCACATCAACTGGACACGGACACAAAAAAAAAATATAACAAATTAAAACAAAAACAAAAAAAATACGAAAAAACAAAAACCTAAAACCCAAACAACTGCTGCTGCGCTTTGTTGTTGTTATAGGTATGCCGTGAGTTCTTGCGCGGCGCCTGTAAGCGCGCCGAGTCGGAGTGTCGCTTTGCGCATCCACAGGATAGCGTCGCTCGGCACGATGACGGTTCGATAACGGTATGCATGGATGCCGTGAAGGGCCGTTGCACGCGCGATCCATGCCGCTACTTTCATCCCCCCTTGCACCTGCAGGCACAATTAAAAGCGGCTCAAACGCGCGCCACTGCTGTCGCTACTGCGGTATGGCTAAAATTGTTCTTATACATTCTTTTAATATTTATATAGATTTCTTAATTTTTTTTATTTTCTTTTTTCCTTGAGTTTGAGCATACTTTTTTATAAGTTTACAAAAACAACTAAATAATAAAAGTAATGTATGATACATGATTTATTTGATACTAAAACAATTGTATACCAGCAAATATTTTAACACTCTCAAAGATGAAAAATGTTTGAAATTAATTTACATGAAAATATTTTAAATATAAAATAACTGCAAAGGTGGTGTGGTTGAGGTAAATGAAAGTTATAAATAAAATTAGAAGCAACTGAAACAAATAAGAAGAAAGTTGCCTTTCTTTTTGTTCGTTGCCCAATAGTTAAGAAAAATCAAAAAAATCAATTAAAACAAAAATGTTTTAATTTTTTTAGCGAAAAAAATTTCCTATAATTTTATAGCAACTCAAAAGCTGTACTGTAATTTTTATAACTGCCGATTTTAAAGCGGCTATAAGTTGTTCAAATTATTTCAAGTGATTTATTGTAACTTCTTGCGATACAAAAGTGTTTATATCTGCTATAATTTATCAGCAATTAAATTTTGTTTGTTTTGACTTTCATATCCGTCTTTTTGAGACTAACTGCAAGTGATAAAAAGAATGTGTAAAACAAGGTCTTATAATGTTTTTGCAATCTATAAGAAAGAAGTACCTGCCATAATAAATATAATTTCGCTAAATGTTGTACTATTTTTAAATTTCTTATCATTTTTTTTATACATTTATTTTCTTAAAATATTTGTTATTTATTGATTTCTTTGAAAGAATCAGCTCCTATAGTACTTTAGTAATTTAAAGTATATTTAAACTAACTAAATGTTTAACTCTACTCCATTTAATCATAACTCTTTGATTTAAATATTCTCATAATTTGATGGCAAAACAAAATATTTGTACTCGAACTTTGTGTGAAAAATTTTTCTGTATCAAGTACCTTCCTTTTTCAATGGATATAAATATATAGCAACCAAGAACTGTTTTGAGAGTAGAAAATGAAAAACAATCAACAGTTTTTAAAATGCATTTTTGTTTCTATAATTTTATAGCAGCCTTAAAATACTTGCTATAATTTTTATAGCAATTAGTTATTTGAGAAACGAATTGGGTGATTAGTGATTTGTTTTTTTATATATCAATACTTTGTGTCAAAATAACTTTCTATAACAATTATAGCAACCCGAAGATTGTTTAAAAATTGTACTTGAAAAATAAAAAATTCAAGATCGCAGAGCTCAAAACTTTGCCACAACCACAACCGCAGTAGTAAAATATTTCATTAATAATATTTAATATTTATATATTTTTATTTTTATTTTATTTTTTTATTAATAAACAGTTTTATTGTTGTGTCCATGCTCTTTAAGTTTGCGCTTAACACGAGAACTGCAGCTTTAAAGTACTCTTATTATATATAAACACGAATATCACTGTTCTAATATAAGTAAATAAAATGAAGAAAATTGTGAATGATTTATTTTAATTTAATTTTATAATAAATCCTATAAGAATGTTATGCCTTTAAATTTAATGTGCTTTTTTATTTTTATTAATTTTTTATGTTTTTCGTTAATTTTTACTGTGCGACTTCGCGGAAATTTAATTTAATTTTATTTTTTAAATAAAGCCAGCTGCTCATTTTATAGTTAAGTTTATTATTACATTGCAGCGATTTCCTGTACCTGAATTAGTTCAACTGAACCCACTTAAATATATAATACTAAGGATACTAGAGTTAGGACAACCTCATTTTTTTTCTATAAAAACAAGTTAAATGTAGTATTTTGTTGTAATTTTCCAATTATAAAATTACAAGAATAACTTAAAATTTGTAGATTAAATATATATATTTTTTTTTTTTTAATTTTAAAAATATATTTTGTGTATTATAATTTTTTTTAATGGAAAAAATATTTAAACACCACAACATCAGTTTAATTTACTGAATTAAATAAATATCAGTTTTATGGATCAAACTCCTCATGTTGACTAACGTGCTGATATCGCCCGCCAATTTTTGGCTTTTGCATAAATCACCCAATAAATTAAACGAAAAATATGCAAAAATTTTAAATTTAACATTTATATTATAAATTCCATTTAGCAGTTTTTCTTCTGCTGTTTTTAATAAATACTATTAATAGCCACAGTTTTTGGTATAAATAATTAGCAGCGATTTGAGTAGAAATTTATTTTAAAGGCCATTAGGAAATTACTTAGAAATGAGTGCATGCAATTAAAGCAACGAACTTTATAGTTAAACGAATAAAATATTAAATGAAATAATAGATTATCCATTATTTTTGTCTTATAATGACAGTTTTATTTAGACATATATATAGAATCCCTTGAAGTTATTGGTAAAAACAACGGTAATATCGTCTTTCACAGACTTCCTTTGAGGCCAAAATTTTACCAGCCAAACTATTCGCCAATGATAATCATTTGGTTCGAGATCTAGACTATAAATTGGTGCTCTAAAAACCTCCCAACCAAGCGATTCACTATCGATGTGTGTGGTGGGTCTGGCGTTGTGCTAATAAAACACAATTCGCCTGCTCTTAATCAAAATTGGTCCTTTTGGATGATTTCTTCCTTCAGACATTGCAATTGTTAACAGTACCGGCCCCCTTTAAGAGTACGGCCGTTGGAAAGAAGCTCACAGTTGATGATTCCTTGCCGTTTTCACCAAACAGACATTAAAATCTTCTCATCAATTCTGACTTGGAGATCGTTGTTGTCCGCTCACTGCCTTTCAACGGCGACCATTTCGTGTGATGTTAGTGATGCACTTTTCAAAATACTGAGTATCACATTTAGAGCTTTTGGTAGACATTAACGAAGACTTCGAAGTTTGTATAGTATATAAACTAGGCAACTGAAGCTTTATGTAAAACTGGCCACTATGCAGTCGTAGCGTAAAGAAGCGTTGATTTTATTACTAATACGTAGATCTATCGAAAACCACTTGGGCTTAGACCCCATTATTCTTATTGCACCTTTGAGTGTTTAGAGACCAGTCGTTGGCCCTGCTGGCCTTGTAGTAGCCCTTAATGTTCCCACATAAACAAGCCGCACGGTGTAAAATCACACGATCCCGGTAGCCACTCGGCATCGCAAAGGGAAAGATTACTCAGTCAAAAAATTTCTGTCGCTATAAAACCTAATTCTCTTTCTGTCATCTTGTTAAAACCAAGTTGGTTGTCATACGTGCCTCACCGTAGTCGTTAGCAATAAAGTAAGGTGCAATCACACAAAAGAGCGCACCAGACAGTAATTTTTTTCTTTTTTTTTTGGTGTAATGGCTTTTCTTTAATCATTTGAGGATTTTTTGAATCACAAAAGCTACAGTTTCGCTTAGTTATCTCTCCCTGAGTGAAAAATGTGCCTCGTCTCTGAAGAAAACTTTGTTCGGAAAACCGCCGTCTCCTGCTGGTTGTTCAAGCACTCAATCGACGGATATACGGCTCATGGTCAGCTGACTTCAACTGTTGTAGATTTAGGACAATTTAAGTGAAAAATACGCCTTACATTTGATAGTCCAAGCTTTATTATTTATTAATTTTTGAAGTTCATTAAATTTTGATATTTTTTTTCATTTAATGGCTTAGTAAATATTATGTTTTCTATAATTAAATATTTAAAATTTATTGAAAATAATTTAAAAGAATATTTCAATCATTTATCAAATAAAATTGTTCTAAATGCTACATAAAATTATGGCAAAATAAATTAAAAAAAATTCACAAATTAATTTAAAATTTTTTTTTTACATCTTTTAGTGTTCAATCCAGAATTATAAATTTATATAATTTAAATAGCTAATTTTACTTAAAATTAATTTTTACCAAATCACACTGCAGTACGAATGCCACCAAAGTGAAATGGATATCTTCATTTCAAATATTTTACCACCAAAAAAAAATTATGACCACAAACATACATATATATACACTACGATCTGACACTGATATGCATGCATAATAATAATGCAGCTAATTTTTCCCAAAATATGCGCGCAAATACCTAAAATTATGCAATAAAAATGTATATTTGTGTACGGCAATGCAGTTAAAAGTGATAATACGCACAGAGAGCACAAAACATGTGTGTGTTCGTGTAGATACATGACTGCGCTTACAGGCACATGCATACTGCAAATGTATGTACAAACATATTATATGTATGTTTGCAAGGTGGAGCTCACCAATGCCACAAGGCATTATGCCATTTTATGCTTACATGCATATATTACGCGCGCATAGTCAATTAAATGTGCATATACATACATTTGGATGTATATATATATGTACTATATATGTATCTGTATGCACGCTATAAAATTTCAACTATCACTTACATTAATTGAACTGCATTAATCGCATTAATAGCAGCAATTATATGCGGCCATATAAATACATACATACACGTACATATGTATAGTGAACAAGCATATAAACTTATAAATATGTATATACATATATGTGTTTGTATATTTGTAAGCTATCTTAACTGTGAATTACTTCCTCCATTTTGTCGACATACGACAAAAAATAAAGTTTCATGCGGAAAATTTTGTTTACCTCCCTTCCCACGTCCTTCGGCCGAAATGGGTAAATAAATAAAGCATAAATTCAGGCGCAGATATGTATATTATATACATTCGTTCATCAAATATATACTAACATACAAGTAAGCAGCATAAAATATATTTGTATTTATATGTGCGTGTATATAATGTAATTATGTGGCGATTTCCACGTACACGTACCAATATATTTGCGCAGGCACTGCGTGTCTTACATTTCTTGTTGTACTTGTTGTATTTTACACAAGCAATAAATGTTGATTTTCGCTTTTGGTAAATTAACATTTATTACGTACAACAACAACATGCTTTGTTGTCGAACGCAACGCGCAACCAATGCTTATATGTATACTTTGTATATATTTATAAACATACAT